AGCCAGTAAATTGTGGATTCAAAAAACTTGAATTAAATAACTCAAATAGATAAACTTTTGAAAACTCTAGGTTCAATGATCATAGAAAGGAATGGGAAGAGATTGGACAAACTTGAGTCTGAGACGAATGACTCATCACAACCTAACTTGAAATTCAACACCAAATAATGCAATTAAATTTTTTCTTCAAAGGAAATATGCACTTTGTAATATCAGTAGCGAAGAAAAGCTGTGTTTCCGCATCTGAACTCCCGGCGCCACTTGTTACTCCTTCCTCTTTGCATCGAACAGCAGATCCCAACCCCTCAGAGGAACCACCTTCTGCGACTCCGGACTCAGGTATTGCAGAGTTGGTCAATACACGCTTTTTCGGCCCAGTCCCAGACGCTTGTGCTGCTGCTTGAGAGGCAGATCGGCTGCTTGTGTAGCTTGGAATGATTGCAGAATGCAAAGAACCAGTTGCGCACCAAGCCGAGCTTGAGGAGACTGTTGAGGAATGATGGTTGTTTAACAGATTAACTGTCTTGTGATCCCCAGCTGCAGATAAAATAGAGTCTAAAAATAGATGAGGAAATTAAGAATTTGAAGAGATGAATCATTCAAGAAAACTATGACAAAAAAACTTAATTTTTAGAAAAATGAACCAAGTAAAGACGTTAGTAATAAATAATTGTTAGATTAATAAATATTTCGCAGTGTAAATCGCAAATGTTTTTGGAAACCAACCTCACCCTTTCATAGTACTTTAATTAAGTATCACTATGACAATTTAAAATCATTTTTTTCCAAATGGAATTAGCGAAACTCGACAGAATGCCGCTTGATATAGACACAGAGGCGATTCGGAAATTATACAGTCCAAGTAAAAAAACGTCACATAAATAGGTCTCGATACACCAAATATCTATTTGAATCACTCTATCTGGAGCTTCGGGTCACATCACCAATTTTATAGTTATTACATGGTGGCATTGCATACTACTCAATGTAGAAATATCTCAACTAAAATTATTGATTATCCGAAGAATAAAATTATCTAATTAATTGAAGTTGGATGGTTATAAATCTCAATCAATGGTGATTTGGGATAAATGATGCAGAGATACAAGTAGGAACTTTATTGTTTACCAAGGTTCGAATATTCCTCATAGTAACAAAAACGAATTAAGTAAGAACTGACCGACAAGTGATGACAAATAATTAGTATGTAGTGGTGATAATGATAATTCTGCGAAATTTAGGTTTGGGGCTTAGATGTGCTAAATAATGTCAACCGAATTGCAAAGGCTGGCGGTAATTCCGTTTATTCCATTTTCCTTAAATATGAGTGGCTCATAGTCCTACGAGCTCAATGCATCTTAACTATATTATTGTCTATCATGCGACAGACATCGTCAGAGCAGGAAGTCATGTTAAGGGATAATTCACAGAATACCAGATAAGCTGGTCTGAAGCCAAAAACTTAGCAGGATATATACAGAAGATTAGGGATTCTAGAGATAATCCTGGATAGAGAGTTAAGCAAAAATTAATCGTGGCTGTTGGATATGATTGAAAAAAGAAAGGGCGAAAAAAGTATCGCTTGATTAGCTTTGAAATTAGTTAGGACTATAGCATCTCAAGAGAATTTTATACACACAACATT